TAAAATATTTTAATTTGTAAAAGTAACATAAGTAGCACATCTTTATGATCTGATTTTTTACAACATTGAATTATTGAACAGTTAAACATTTGATGTATTTTCTTATTAACTAGTAGAACTGCACATTCTTAACCATTATAGTTTTAAGCAGTGTACTGGTAGTTAGTTAGTGTGCTACACAAAAGTCTGTAAAAATAGGACACAATGTAATGTTTATATGAAGGAACAATACGTATTTATTTTTCACAGGTGTTTTACCTGTGTTTTGAATTCCACATTGCATTTTGTGTTTTTTGTGTAATTTAGATGAAAATATGTCTTTTTATCATTTGAGTCACTTTACAAAAGTTGCTAAAAGTTGCCAAATACTTTGTAAAAATAGCTAAATTTGTTGCTAGGTGCTTTTTGAAAAAAAAGTTGCTAGGGTAGTCTGAAAAGTTGCTAAATCTAGCAACAAAATTGCTAAGTTGGCAACACTGCTTACACCGTTTTAACACCGGAACACGACAGCATGCTAACGGAAGTTTGAATCCTTCATGGCGGCGCTCATCAGTTACTTAGGAAAAAGGTGTATTGAATATATAGGCTATGTTTTTTGTATACGTTTTGTATTGCGGGCAAATTCGCTGTTTTGTCTCGTGACGAAGTTTGAGTTTGAAGTTTGGAAATGTAGCCTTTTCCACGGAAATCTGTAATGAATTGTATTGGGTTAGACTCCGTGAACGCCCAAACAAAACTGAAATTAGTTAATGATGGCACTCAAAACAAAATACGGCAAGTAGCTTAATGTCGAGTCAAACATGTTTTCTGCATTTCTTTTTGAATGATTAAAATTACGTAACCATAGCAGAGAATTTTGGGAATATTGTTTTAATAGGTTATTAATTCATAGGTATTGCCTGTATCCTCAATTTTACTTTCAATTTAATTAGTCTTCTAAAACATCATTTCATTTTTATAACTTGGCCTAAGTGATCATTTTTAGCGGGAAAACAACAAAACAAACAAAAGTAAGTATTAGCAAATCATGATTAGTTTTGGCTAATTTTGGCACTGTATCTCCATTTAGTCTTCTCTCAATTGTATAAATAATCAAGCATTTATTTTTAAGTCTGGTAAAGCCTTTTAGAGAAATACTGCCTTAAATTTCAACACAGATAGTCATTTTAAAAGTTTACAAAAACTCACAGAGTATTGCATAACAGTAATCAGACCCACAATTGAACCTACCTAAACCATGTATTATTTTGCGGTTCTTAATAAAGTTCCAGGCCAGCTCCTTTTATTCACTCTCCAGGTGCCAATATTTACTCACAATTGGTGTTTGGTGAGTTTTTGAACCCTGGGTTCATAGCTTTGGATGCAATGAATTTTGCCATGTGTCTGAAGCTCCACTGGATTCCATTACAGGCAATCAGCACACAGAGAGACGTGCAGCGCTGAGGCTTCAACGAGCAGGTAATGTGTTTCGTTGTGGCTGTTAGAGGGTCGATGCGATGTGTTCGTTTTCCTCTCTTGTGGCCATATTGGGGTCATCTCCATTACCGCCATCGTGTCTGCTGTGTATCTGGAATAGATGTGTGGTATGAGATCTCCCACTGGAGAGCAGAGGTCAGGACCATTGAATTAGCTGTGTAGAGCCATTTCTCACCTCTTGCTTTTTTGTCACTCCATCTCTCTTTATGTCTCTATCGTTCTCCATTTCCCCTCTGGAGATATTTCACACCGGAGGCTAAATCCAGTTAGGCAATTAGAGAGTCTCTGTGTGTCAGAGATGGCGTCTTCCCCCCGGGTCCACACATCATGCCCTGCGTAAGTGGGCCTCCAGGGCTCAGAGTATGTGTGATGGGAGATAACTGAGGTCTGATCAAGCCTGGGCCTCTGTGGGAATAATGGCCCTGACATACAATAATGGAGACACTTCAAGAGACGAGCTGATAATTGGTAGAGCGGTTCGGTTGATGTGGTCTACCTTGGATGGTGTGAGGGTCTTTAGAACTTGACGTTATCAAATACCACAGATAGTGCTGAAAATAATCATTGATGTGATGCTTGTTTTTTTGACATGATTTATTATTATGGCATAATCTTTCATAGTTTTGTTAGTCTCTCATTGACTGTCAAGTGGCTTAAATAGCAGATGATTTGACTTGACTTGATGATTTAATGAAGTAACCTTTTAAAGGGGTCAAATGATGCGATTTCAAGTTTTCCTTTCTCTTTGGAGTGTTACAAGCTGTTTGTGAATAGATAAGATCCCTAAAGTTGCAAAGACTAAAGTCTCAAACCCAAAGAGATATTCTTTATAAAAGTTAAGACTTGTCCACGCCCTCCTAAAATGCCTCGTTTAAACACGCCCCAACATATCTTCGTCTAGATTAGCAGTGCAGCCGGAGGAACTGATGTTATTCACTGTTTGATTGATGCTTCTTTCATATGACACTCAGCTTCTGAAATGCAGTTTCATTTGCTGCTGTATCTCATGGATTAAAATGCTAACCCAGTAAATCACTGAAATCAATGCAAATCGGATGCTACGCAATTTATAATGGAACACGGATGTAGCAAGTGATCAGTGTTTGACCTGTAATTTGATCATTTCATGTGTATTTCACAGAATTTGACGTCACGATAGTTCCTCCTCTCATTGTCTGTCTTGCTCTCAACTTGACTGAAATCTTCTCTGCTTTTTGGACTTGAAGGGTTTTGCCTGTTTGGCAGCATTCATTGTTTGCATGCCTGTGGGTGGCTCTCATAAACCAGGCCGACCGGCTCATTAACCTTCTCCGATGACAGCGTGAGCAGGATCGCCCTACTAAGAGCTGTGTACCACGCCCTGCGCTGCACCTGTTCCTCCATCTACCTGCTCCTGCTGGTTACATTGCCAAAGATCTTCTGTGATGCCTTCAGATTTCATGAAGGAGCTTTGCTGCCATCTAGTGGAGGAAAATATTGTCTGCTTTGTTCTAGCCAGGGTGCATTGTCATGTCTGCTTGAAATGTTTCTGTTTTCAGGTAATAACATCACTTGGCTTCCTGTTGACCTCAGGAGCTCCTGGTGGCCCTTTAGGTAACTTATTAATCATTTTTAACATCTTAACAGATATGAAGAATAATGAAAATGATGCGTAGTGCAGCTCTGGGCTTAGTTGTTCTTCTGGTGCAGCTCCATCTCTTGGCACAGTGGGCCCTTTGGTGCAGCTGCATGATTTTGATTAGTTTGAAAATGATGCGTAGTGCAGCTCTGGGCTTAGTTGTTCTTCTGGTGCAGCTCCATCTCTTGGCACAGTTGGGCCCTTTGGTGCAGCTGCATGATTTTTATTAGTTGTAGTAGTAGTAGTAAAGCGCCAGGCCATTTAAAGATACACAGTGTAACTTTTGGCCCTCTAGTGGTAAAAAACAAAACTACATGCATCTTGCGGAGGAACATTGTTTTTGTTGTGCCTCAGCTCTGCGCAGATGAATGTGGTTCGTGCCACAGAGATCAACATTTCATCTGAACATGTGCATACAGTATCTTAGGCTGTTGTTTTGAAGTAATGTAAGAAATGATTTTTTTAATGTATAAATGACGTAACTGTTTTAACGAGATAAAACTATTGCTAGTCTAAGGACGAATGTTCTAATTAATTAATTAACTGTACTGTTAGCTTCTATCAGTTCAAAATATCTTACCTGCTTAGTAAGTAAAAAGCCATCTCTCGCTTTTTTATTAATCATTAATTATAATTTATACAACCAGAGGTTTGGCGTTGTCCATGGTCAATATTTTTCCGCTTGTTCTGACAAATAACTTTTAGCTTCACACTTTCTTTGTTTACGGATATGCAAATTCCTGCAAAATTTGTCCCGACTGTCTTAAAGATTGTCATTTTGCACTCGGTAACATTTTGTTAATTTTGTTTAATTAAAGCTTTTATCGTGTACGAAAACGTGCTGTTCATAAGTGGGGAAAAGTCAAGAAATTGATTGAAAAACGCAGGAAAAAGTGGCTTGTAAACCTGCGTCTGCGGTCGGGAGCGAAGCCGGATAATGCTCGTGCGTTTTTTCAAGTGTTAATGTAGTACTACCTATTACTTCCTGCATAGTTACTTGTTAACAACGGACCATTATTCTAAAGTGTTACCAAAAGATGTACATAGCGTAGCTTTAAAATGTATCAGCACGTACTGTTGTTACAGATGTTTTTTTCATTGAGGTTTATTTTTATGTTGTATGTACACAGTAGCCCCTTGGGAGAACTGGATTTGTCTCTGGGCAAACTGAGATGCTTTGGGGGCCTGACCGTCAGCTGGAGATAGTTAGCATAACACTAGTAAGATCATTAGTCTGATGACAGTTTAAATCTGTATAATAATCTAAGAGGTTCAGAGGTGTTTTTGTGCTCTGAAGAATGACCCAAGCTGCGCTTACATGGACCCTACTAAACCGATCGTAATAGGACTAGAAGCACAATCGGAATAAAAAAAGTCACATGTAAACACGTCAATCGGGTAGAATTGACCAGGTCAGACAAAAAGTTCGATCGGATTGTAAGGGGTGGTTTATTCCTTTTGTAATCCGAGCGAGAGGACATGTAAACACAGTACCTTATAAATGCCATAGACTAGACTTTTACATTTTCTAAAAAAGAAATATGAATGGTGCTTACTTGCCCATGTGAAACTCACTGCCTCAGATCTTAAGGGTGTTTTAGTGCATTGGTAATAAGAGCCCACCTTCAATTCCCTGTGATATTTCAGGTTTTAGATATGGCTCAGGTTCTTTATTTAAAGTCAGCATGATCCGGAAGTTGGAATGAAATATTAAATAGAGGGTGGATTTTATTTTAGCACACTTTCTCTCCATCTCTCACTCCTATAAATCTAATATAAAAAATATAACCACTAATCCTAAACATCAGCAATAATACTACTGCTTGCTCTACATGCTGCTAGCAGATTTGACTTATGTGTATTGATAGCTTTTTTTGATGGCAAGTATTGACAAACAAACTTTAGGACAGGATTAGTTCACATTTTTTAATAACGTGGCACAATTTACATAACACAAGTTTAACTGAGGAGCATGCGGTCGCCTCACCCTTTTTTTTTGTACATGATCTAGAAAGGACTTAATTTTTTACGTACATAAACAGCAAAAAAAGTTTCTTACAATCTCTTTGCAATACGTATTGACTACCCACTACTGCTTCAGTGGACATTTTAATGTTTGATTTAAAACAAACAAACAAAAAAGTAGAGGAAAATTAAAGGGAAAAAAAAAACCCACTGCACATCTGAATTCAAAAGCGCACAACTATCCCTCCCATGGACTACTAAAATAGATCTCTGCTCAATAAAAACAAACTGTCATAGCTTACAACTCACTTTAATACACAACTAGACCAACAGAGAATTGTCCTGCTTTCTGTCTCGTGACATGATGGGATGTGGTGTAATTTTTGCAAATTGCCACACTTTTGATTTAGAGGTAATTAACTCAGAGAATTTCGAACATTGGTGTATTTGTAAGGATTGTCAACACAGATCTTTATAGCTTGAAGAACAAAAGCATGTTTCTGGATCAAAAGTTAGGGAACATGTGTGTCAGATGTGTGAGTAAAACTCATTGCAGAAAATCCCCTTCGGAACCATCACAATCTGAGTAATGTGAGCATGTACTGTTGCTCCACCAGGAGAAAGAGAGGGTTCAGTAGAGACTGTTTGTCCTCTAGAGGAGAGAAAAATGATACAGATAGAGAGAGCCCACGCAAGAGTTGCATAGTTGAAAGAAGGGATGTGGTCTCTTGGACAATATGATCCTTCCAAAACATTAATATGCAGCATTAAACTAAAACCAGAGCCTGTGCGCTCGCTCTCCTTTTGATCACTGCCCACTATATACAGCATTTCAAAGTAAAGCTTTCATAACACCCATTTGCATATTTGTACCTTAAATTTTTTTCCCTCAAGGACAGAAACACACCAACTTTACACATATCTACAAGTTCTGCCTTTTTGCAATGTATTGAGGTACCTGTACATTCCAAGATCATCTTTCCATGTTGGAGATCTAGCGCTTGTCCACTTGCTCGAGATCAGTGTACTGTACATGCTTAAGAATACACATCAACGCAGGAGTGAACAGGATAAAAGAGCATGATAAATCTCAGTCTTTTGTACAAAAACAAAACTCAACACAAATAAAACAATCAGTAATGCACAATCTATACACATATGATATAGCCGCAAGTGCTTGCTTTTGAGTTCCATTACAGTCCATCGGGGTCTCACCGCGCCTCGATGTCTTTGTGTGTGTGTGAGGGGGGTCTGTCTCTAATGTCAGTGCCGAGTGGGGTAGTCCGTCTGGGAGACGTGGAACGTGCTCCCAGGGTTGGGATAAGAGGGGGCGGGGCACTGAGTGATGCAGTGGGAGGGGTTTTGTTGAGGATTCCATTCTGGGCAGCCACGGCAGAGGAGGGGCTAACACGGGGGAAGTGCATGCTGGGAAATCCAGGGGCCATGAGACCCGGGTGAGGGAGGTGTCCATCTAAAGCGGGGTGATGCATCGGGTGCAGACGCCCCTGCTCGTAGTCTTCTCGGAGCAAATGCAGACGTTCCCGCTCCTCTAGGTGCGCCCGCTCATGTTCCCGCCGCTGTTCCAAGGCCAGCCCGTGAGGGTGGTCTCGGTTAAAGTCATGAGGCTCACGGTCCCGGTACGAGCGTTCTGCTTCGTAAAGCCGCGGTGCTGCTAAACGGTGCAGAGGGTCATTCCGCAGTAGCAGATCCCGAGCTAACGGATCCCTCCGGTGGATATCAAGTCCCCGGTAAGGGTCCCTCATGGGATCCCAGTGAAAGGCGGGATAGGGGAACCTCTCTGCCCCTGGGATGGGACTGATACCCATGAAGGGGGGCACCATACGAGTCCTCTCCAGACTACTGATACTGTTTATGGGATGCATACTGGCCATGCCCATGGGTACCGGCATTGAAGACGGAGGGTGGAGAACAGCAGGAGGAGGAGGAGGAGGAGGAGGAGGAGGAGGAGGAGGTGCTTGCGGTGTGGATCTTTGTTCCGGGGATCTTTCCGTGGGACCATCCTGCTCCTCTTTCCTCTCTTCTTTCACCTTTATCTCACTGTTTTTCTTCTCATAGGTGATATCGGCCTTCTTCTCCAGAACATCTCGAGTCAGCCCTCCGTTCACCCGATCTATGCCACCTGGCCGCATGTAGGGTGATGCTGTAACCCGATTAGCCAACTTGTCTTCAGAAACCCGGCCATCATGGATGACGGGAGTGTCCTTGTCACTGTGGTGATTCTCCTTCACCTTGTGCTCATCCGTATTGGAGTCTTTCCAGTCCGAGTGCTCTCGTTCTCTCTCGCGATCTTTGGGCTTGTCCTTGTCCCGAGACTCACTAGAAGGGATGTGGTTCCGGGAGGGCTCAGACGACCGGGTGTGACTCATCAGAGTGAGGGGGTTAACAGGAATCGGGGATGGGTGATTCTGGTGCCGCTTTTCCGCAGGTTCCCTAGAGGTGAAATGGATTATTACTATCAGACAAAAAAATATTTTTGGATAGCATTCAGCTGGTCGTTATTGTGAAATAAACTTCTTCAGGGTGATACAAGACTCTCTTTGGGTTTATTCTGCAATAATAACTGGCTGACTATACAGAAATACATGCCAATAAAATATATACAGTGGTGTGAAAAAGTGTTGGCCCCCTTCCTGATTTCTTATTTTTTTGCATGTTTGTCACACTTTAATGTTTCAGATCATCAAACAAATTTAAATATTAGTAAAAGATAACACAAGTGAACACAACATGCAGTTTTTAAATGAAGGTTTTTATTATTAAAGGAAAACAAAATCCAAAACTACATGGACCTGTGTGAAGAAGTGTTTGCCCCCCTCTTAAAACTGCGGTTTATCACACCTGAGTTCAATTTCTCTAGCCACACCCAGGCCTGATTACTGCCACACCTGTTCGCAATCAAGAAATCTCTTAAATAGGAACTGCCTGACAAAGTGAAGTAGACGACGAGGGCGGTTGGCGACACTAGGATGTGACTGGAGCAGAGATGGAAGGAAGTGACGTAGGATCAGGAAGTGAGCTGGACATAGAGGATGAATGTATTGGCGGGGAGAAAGGAGGTAAAAATGGAAATTGGAACATAGTAGAAAATCGGAAAAGGAAAAAAAAATGGAATCAACTTTCTGGTTCGGAAAGTGAAAGGGAAAGACAACAGGAGAAAAGGAAAAAGGAAGAGTTTAAGGTAATGATACATTTCTTGTCCGATAATATGAATGCATTGAACCCACTGAAAATAACTAAAGCGATCAAAGAAGAGATCGGGAAAATCGAACATGCGAAAATGTTACGGAATGGAAAGTTGCTACTTTTTTGTAAAGATAGCAGACAACAAAAACAGGTACTAGGCTTAAAGACATTAGCAGGGAAAAAAATTTCGTGTACACTGTTGGAAGAGAAGAAATGGATGAAGGGAGTAATAACAGGGGTCCCAACAGATGTATCAGAAGACACAATCAAGAGAAGTTGGCCATGTAGTTTTGGATTTTGTTTTCCCTTAATAATAAAAACCTTCATTTAAAAACTGCATGTTGTGTTTACTTGTGTTCTCTTTGACTAATATTTAAATTTGTTTGATGATCTGAAACATTAAAGTGTGACAAACATGCAAAAAAAATAAGAAATCAGGAAGGGGGCCAACACTTTTTCACACCACTGTATATAATATCACTGACAAATGATATCTGGTGACTGCTATGTAAATATAATCCACACCGCTCTTTATCATCCTTGTTGACTGATGAATCCCTCTTGTCCAGGTCTCGTTCTCTCTCTCTGTCCCTTTCTCGTTCTCGTTCTCTCTCGTGGGAGCTGACCGACGCGCTGCGTTCAGGGTCTCCAGGTTTGAGCCAGGGAGGTGGGGTGGGGAAGGACGGCGGAGTCCGGTGGAGTCTGTTCCATGGCTCGTGGGGTCCGCTGAAGTGCTGTTGTGCACTGTGTGCATCTTTGTGGCCAAATACAGAGTTGGGTGCTGGGATTACAAAAAAAAAAAACATGGTTAGATTTTATTTATCTTGATCTTTTCCAATTCATGCATGCATTCTCTTTGATGTCAAAATATTAAATGTGTTGTAATGTTTATTTTTTTTTACCTACAATTAGTCTTATACCTGAAATAAATATATAAAGGTACTGTATTTCTGAATAATAAAATGTTGAATTAAGGTGAATTTTCTAATACAAAACAGCTGCCGAATTGGCACTTACCGAATGCTGGGTTTCCCAGCCCACCAAAGGCTGCAGTGCTTAATGAGGCCAGACTTCCAAATGAAGACGGTCTGTTGAAGGGCTCTGTCAGTCACAACAGGAACAAGGAATCAGTCAATGAAATGGTTGTGAACCATCAATGAAGTACAGCTTGCCTCATCACAGAATGTTATGACTTAAAATCCCCCCCCCTTATAAACCAGCTTTAAACTCACCGAATCTAAAAAAAATTAACAGATATATAAACGTTTTAGCAATTTGTATATCCTCCACTGACTTTCAGAGAAGTGTTCAGTAACCCTTAATCCAGGGTTGTCCAATCCTTCTCCAAGAGGGCCAATATCCTGTAGAGTTTAGCTCCAATCCTAATTAAACACACCTGAACCAGCTAATCAAGGTCTGCAGGATTACTAAAAACTTCCAGGCAAGTGTGTTGGGGCAAACTCTGTAGGACATTGGCAAGGGCCTTAGAATACAAGAATAAGCAGTTGTTGACTGCACAGTGACATCTAGTGGAGGAGTGTGAATGTGCATATGTGAGAGTCTTGTCAACTTACCTAAGTGGGGTGCTGGGGTAAGAAAATTGCTAGGGTGATGTGGAGGGTGTCCGAAAGGTGCAGCTGAGGGATGCGTGGTCCCTGAAACACAAACAGAAAACAATGGAATTTGTTTAAATCTAATTAAAGCAAGCCTAATGGTCTAGCTCAGTGGTCACCAACCTTTTTAGGCCCAAGATCCCTGACCTCGG